GGTTTCCTGCAGCTACAGCCCTTATTATGGTGTGGCAAGTTCAAAGTATCCCAAGAGAGGGTCAGTAGGGAAATACCCCGGGATTAGGAGGTCATGGAGTGGGATAGCTTGGAAAATATATATGTGTGTGCATGTGGAGCTGCTGCAGCACCTTTGCTCAGCCACAGGAGCCATGAGGAAAGACTCAACAATGCTCCTTGGCCTCTCTGCTCAATTCTGCAACATTTGGGGCAGAAAACAATGATTTAGAGCTTGGTTGGGCCACGGCCAGCCTGGGTGGCTTCCTGCAGCAGGACCCAACCATGGCACATTCAGGGCCATATTCATGTTGCTCTGACTTGGTTTATTTTTAATTCCTCCAGCAAGTTGACACCTGGTTCCCAGTCCCTGCCTGGCCAGTGCTGGCTGCACTGTTTCACTGGGGTTTGCTGGGGGTGTTCCCAGCTCGCAGGGCCGACTGTGCTGGAGCCAGCACCGCCCACCAAAGGAGGGAACCAGTTCCTGGGGCAGGACAGAGACTGGGATTTGTTGTTTGCTCCCTCTGAGATTGGAAACAACAAAATCACAAGTCTTCCAGCCTGCCCCAGAGCTGACAGAGGAGGGGTGGTCCAGAGACACTCAGTGGAGCTGTCCCGGGACAGAGGAAGGGAGAGGGGAGGCATTTTGGCACCTGCCCTTCCCTCCAGGTCTGCTGGGCCTCTATGTGGCCCCACGTAGGATCAGGCCTGGCTGGTGCCCCTGAGCTGGCACCCACAGGTCCACCAAGAGCTGTGTCACCCACGAAACCCAATGGATTTCTAATGTGCACTGGGAAAGGGTCCAGGGTGCCCGAGGGGCTTTGCAGCCCTTGGCTGCTCCTGGCAGTAGTGACACAAGGCCAGTGGTTGTCCCCAGTGTCCCCCCAGTGTTAGTGATGTGGCTGAGCCTGAGCTTTGCCCCCATCTCCTGCCCAGGACAGCTCCAGCCCAGCTCTGCTGAGGACAGATGAGAAGCCCCCCCCACTCCCCACGCTGCCCTGGGAAGGGGTTCTGCTTTTGGCAGATTTTGCAGTGCTGGGACCTTGCATCGTGCCCCGCTCCTGTTCCTGTTTCCCTGGCTGTCCTGGTGGGAACATCCCCAGCCTCGCTGTCTCCGTTTCCCTGCCCGTGAGCCACATCTGGAGTGCAGCTGTGAGATGGCTCCCCTGCAAAAGTTATTGCTGCTCTTTCATCCCAGCAAAGAGAGCAGAAAGTGGTGAAGGTAAAAGTGGCTGAGGCTGCTGCCCTGTGGGCTCTGGGCTGCTGCAGGTTCCCACCTTGGTGCTACCCTGGAGATAAGCCCCCAGTTATCAAGGGGAGCGGAAGAGAGGAAACAAAGCATGAGGAAAAGCAGGAGGGACGCCAGGGCTGGCGTAGGGGAGGGGATGTCCCTTGATCCCTCAATGCTGCTGCCACGTGCAAGGGCTCCAGCAGAGCCAAGTGTGGAGCTGGTGCCTTTGCTGTGTGTCTGCGGAGGCAAGCACTCCACCATGCAGTTCACACCCCACGTGCACCCCACTGCACACCTGGCACCATGTTCCCATATCCCCATATCCCTGTACCCCCACGTTCTCATTTCCCCATATTCCTGTATCCCCATATCCCCGTTCCCATATCCATGTATCCCCCTGTTCCTGTATCCCCATATCTGTGTATCCCCATGTTACTGTATCCCTGTGTCCCCATATTTCTGTATCACCATCTTCCTGTGACCCATATCTGTGTATCCCTCACCCCTGTATCCCCATTCCCATGTTCCTGTGTCCATGTTCTCATATCTCCCTGTGTATCCCCATTCCTGTGTCCCCATACTCATGTATTCCCCTCCCTGTATCCCTCCATCCCCATATCTGTATATGTCCGCTCCCATATCCCCATATCCGCGTATTCCCCTGTTCCCCATCCATGTCCCCTGTATCCCCGTGTCCCCATATCCCTTTATCCTCATGTTCCCATATTGTGCATCCCCGTCCTTGTATCCTCCTGTTCCCATGTCCCCGTGTCCACCTATCCCCACGTTCCCCTGTACTCGTATGTGTGTATCCCCTTGTTCTTGTATCCCCGTGTCCCATATCCGTGTATCTTCCTGCTCCCGTATCCCCATATCTGTGTATCCCCCTGTTCCCATGTCCCCATATCGTGTATCCCCATCCCTGTATCCCCCTGTTTCCATGTTCCCGTGTCCATGTATCCCCACGTTCCCCTGTATCTGTGTATCCCCCTGTCCCTGTATTCCCGTATCTCCATATCCGTGTATCCCCACACCCCTGTACCCCCACGTTCCCATGTTCCCATATCCCAATGTCCCCCCCCCTTCCCGTGTCCCGCCCCCTCCCCGGGTGCATTTCCCGCTCTCCGCCCCCTCTCGCGCACGCGCAGAGCCCCTTCCCGGCGGGCCCCGCCCCCGGCCGTGACCCCGCCCCCGGCCGCGTGCGCGGGCCTCGGTTCCGGGGAGTCCCCCGGGCCTCCGGGAACCGCCGGCGACCCGCCGAGACCCCCCGGGACCTCCCCGGGGCTCCCCGGGACATGAGCGCCCCGGGACCGCCGGGCCGCGGGATGCGCTTCGCCGAGACCCAGCTGCGGCGGCACGGCTGGCGCCGAGGTGGGGCCGGGCGGGGGTCCCGGGGCGGGGGTCCCCCGACTGTCCCGCCGTCCCTTGGCCCCTCCCGAGCGCCCCGCGCTCCGCCCAAGCCCCAGAACCCCCCGGACCCGGCTCCCCCTGCCAAGCCCCATCTCCCTCCATGTCCCCCCCAGCGCCCCGTTTTCCCCTGCCAGGCCCCAGCTCCCTCCAGCTCCCGGCTCCCTCCAGTACCCAGCTACGCCCGAGCCCCGGGACCCTCCAGGCCCCAGCTCCCCACCCCAGCCCCCGGTGGTCCCCAGCCCCCGGTGGTCCCCAGTCCTCCCCGGCGGCGGGTGATGAGTGGCTGTGTCGGCAGGGCAGGGGCTGGGCAAACGGCAGGACGGCATCGCCGAGGCCATCCGGGTGAAGGTGAAGTGTGACACGGCGGGGGTGAGTGCAGCCCCCCTGCCCGGCCGGGGCCCCGCGCCCACCGCCCGCCGCAGTCATTCCGGCGGCTCCTCTGCACCCCGCAGGTGGGACACGACGCGGCGGAGCCCTTCACCTTCCACTGGTGGGACCACGTCTTCAACAAGGCGGCTGCCAACATCGCTGTGGAGGCCGGGCAGGTGGGAGGGCTGGAGGGGCACCCTGCTCAGACAAGGGTGGAAAGCAGGGGAGGGGGTTGGGGTCCCTTTGGTGGTCCTTGTGCTGCCGCTCTGTGCGTGTCCCCGCAGCCCCTCTCAGCATAGGGACCGTGGTGGCAGAGACGTGCTGCTAGAGGGGTGAAGCCCCTTGGGCAGATCGTTCCCAAGCCCTTTGTCTCTCCCCTCCAGGATGGCATCTCCGTGAAGGCGCTCTCTGAGCAGGGAGGTGGGATCAGCAATAAGAAGCCGCGCAAGGCCGGTGGCACCAGGGACCTGCTGTACGGCCGCTTCGTGAAGGTAACTGGCCCTGGGATGCAGCTCAGAGAGCAGCTGGTATCTCTGCAAAGGTTGTGGAGAGCTCTGCACCCCCCTTGCAGCACGGCCCCCAGCCTATTGCTGCTGTGTCCCCCTTCCTCACGGCCCCTCTGTGTCCCTGGTGCAGTCGGCCACACTCACAGCCTGTGGGGAGGAGTCCGTGACGCTGCCCACTGGCTCCGCGAGCAGTGAGGAGGAGGAGGAGAAGCTGGACCTCTCTTCAGCCAGGAGGCAAGGCTGAGCCCCATCTCCACGATGAGGAGGGATGAGGGCTGCGAGGGGCAGCCCCGGTCTGAACCGTGCCCCTGCCACACTGCTGGGGGGTGACACGTCCTCTCTGTGTCCCGCAGGCTGACGGACGAGGAGCTGGTGCAGGCGTGTGGGGGCCGCACGGCACACAAGTGAGTGGCTGGGGGGGCTGCATGGCCGAGCTGGGGGGCACGTTTCCTGCCAGGGAGATGCCAGATCCCACTGCCTGTGGTCGTTGCAGGGGTGCCCGTCATGGCCTGACCATGAGTGCCAAGCTGGCGCGCCTGGAGGAGCAGGAACGAGCCTTCCTGGCCATGTACCAGCACAAGGAGCAGCAGCAGGAGTTCCTAGAGAGCAGCCCCCTGGCAGAGAGCCAGGGCAAAAAGAAGAATAAAAGGAAAAAGTCCAGAGACAGAGCTGACCCTGAGGTGCCCCAGAGCCAGGAATCAAATGGGGAGGAGGAGGAGGTATCAGGAAAAGAAGTGAAGGTTGTGAAGAGGAAAAAAAAGAAGATCTGGGAGCCAAGTGGAGAAGAGGAGCTGATGGGAGAGGGAGAGAAGGTCATGAGGAAGAAGGTCACAGAGCCATGCAGAGAAGAGGAGGCATCAGGAGAGGAGGGGAAAGTCATGAAGAGGAGGAAGAAGCCAGAGGCATGCACAGAACAGGAGGTGGCAGGAGAGGAGGGGAAAGTCATGAAGAGGAGGAAGAAGCCAGAGGCACACACAGAACAAGAGGTGGCAGAAGAGGAGGGGAAAGCTGCAAAGAGGAAAAAGAAGAAACAGAAGCAGGAGGAGGAGGACAAAGAAGAGCCAGCTGAGACAGACATACCTCTAGAAGGCACAGGTGAGCCAGACTTGGGACACAGCCCCAGGAAGAAGAGAAAAAAGAAGAAAAGGAAGAGGGAGCCAGAGTGAGTAAGTGCCACGGCTGCCGTGTTGTGCAGCTGCCAATCCCACCTTGCTGTGAGGGTTCTGATCCTGGTGCTGGTGGGTGCCCAAGGGTGCTCCAGGCTCGTCCCAGACAGAGCCCAAGCACTGTGGCTCAGCCTGGGGATGCTGGGCTGGGCTGGGTTGGTCTGGAGCTGGATCGACCTTTATTTCACCTCCTGAGCCTTCACTGGTCAGGGGTGACCCCAGTTCCCCCCAGGCCCTGGGGCAGGGACCCATTTGCTGTGGGCTCGTCACAGAAGGACACAAGGGGACAGACCCTGCAGCATATTGAAGTATTTTTTCAAGGGCACAAATAAATCTTTATTGCAGTGAGACCACCCTGAAGTGTGAGTGGTGCGAGAGATCACTTGGATCAGGCAGCAACCCCAAACAGAGCCCCCCCCAGCAGCCCCCCATCACTCCCACCTCCTGGGCCTTTGGTCTGCAGTGACCTTTGATCCTGCTGGGTTGGGCTGAAGCCCAGCAAGGTGCTGAGCACCCTCCCAGCAGAGGCTTGGGCAGAATTGGGCCCTGATGTGCAGTACTGAAGCCGAGCCCAGCCCCTGTGGCCCCAGCCCCTGTGGCCCCAGCCCTATGTGAGCTGCAGGACACAGTCCGTGCCAGGGTATGCTGGCAGGTTTAGAGCGTATTTCTCCTGCAGCGCAGGTGGCACAAACCTGCCCCCGAGGAAGTGGTACCGCCCAGCAAAGTGCGTCGCCGCCTTCTTGGGCGCCGTCAGCGAGATGAGCATGTCGGGCTGGAGGCCGTCTGCCTTTCCCTTCTCCACGTCCCAGCCTGCAACAAGAACCATGGTTGGGCTGGAGCCAAGGGACCACCTTGGCTGGGCACCTTCCTCCAGGGGGTGCGGCCGTTACTCACCCGAGGGGATGTCGATGCTGGCGATGGGCACCGTGACACGCTCCAGGGTGCTGAGGATGCTGCCGAAGGGCTCCCGCACCGCTCCCTTGAAGCTGAATCCAAAAATCGCATCCACCACCAGGCCGTAGAGCTCGTCAATGAATGCAGCCTGCAGCAGGGATGGCAGCAGGTGAAGGGCAGCCTTGGGCACTGCTCCCCCTGCTCCCAAGCTGGCAGCTGCCCCTCACCTCAGTTGGGAATTCTGGGAGGAAGGGGATGTCCATCTTCTCGCACTGGGTGATCAAACCTTCAAAGAGGGGCTTGCTGGGGCGCTTGGGGTAATACACGGTGGGCAGGTAGCCCTACAAGAGCATGAGGAACCTGAACTAATCCTGCTCTGGCACCAGCAGCAGCCAGAGGAACAGGACCCCAAAGCCTGCGGTTACAGGGGCACATGGGCATTGGCAGCCTCACGGGGAGTGCGCAGAGACTCACAAACATCTTCAGGTGCCGGGCACAGACCAGCCCATCGCCGCCGTTGTTCCCTGGCCCGCAGATCACAAGCACAGCGGGCTGGCTCGTCGTGAAGGAGCTGGGTGGGTAGGCCTGGTAGGAGATGTGGAGTTATGGTGGGAAAGCAAGGCCACACCACGGAACCAGGACTCCCACCTGCCTCCCACGATCCCAACCTTGGTGCTGCCACAGCTCTTCCCATGGGACTGGGACCCCACCCTAGGACTCTTCCCAGGATCCCCACTTGCCTCCCTGGTGTCCACCTTGGCAGTGGCACAGCTCAGTCCACGGTGCTGGGACCCCCCAGAACCCCTACCTTGGTAATGGCAGTGGTGCAGCTCAGTCCACAGTGCTGGGACTTCCCCCCCCAATACCTTCAACTGCCTCCTGGGCCCCCACCTTAGCAGTAGCACAGCTCAGCCCATGGTGCCAGGACCACCCTTGGGATCCCCCCTGTTCCCGAGGGCCCCCACCTTGGCAGTGACACAGCTCTGCCCACGGGACTGGGACCTCCATAGAACCCTTCCCAGGATCCCCACCTGCCACCTTGGTGGTGTCACAGCTCAGTACACAGTGCTGGCACCCCACAGGACCTCCCCTGCCCCTCAGGACCCCCACCTTGGCAATGGCAGTGGCACAGCTCAGCCCTGCCAGCTCCATCAGCTGGTCCACGCTGAACTTGTACTCAGTGAAGAGCTCCTGGTCGATGGCCTGGGCCTCCTCCTGCCTGGGGGGAGGAGGATGGCACCCCTGGGGACCCCGACACTCAGCCACCCACAAGGTCTGCAGGGCTGGGGGCTGCTATGATCCCCTCGACTTTGCATGAGCCATGGGGACACACAGGGTCCAGCTCCCCATGCTGAGCCCCCCCATGTATATCTGCACCCCAAACCTCAGGTCCTGCCCGATCCCTTTGCACCTCTCAGCCCCCCCATATCCTGTCCTCCTCGACCCCTTACCCCCTCACCGTGCCCCCTCCACTCTGCCCGCCCCCCCCGCACCCTGCGGACCCCCAGAACCCCCCGCCCGCTCTACCACCTCCTCCTTCCCCCCGCGCCTCCCCACCCAGCCGTACCCCAGGAAGCGGAGCCCCTTCGGGCCGGGCCCCCCGCTGGGCCCGTGCATGGCGCGGCTGGGGGGGCACCGGCCCCACTCCCGGCCCTGACCCCAACCCCGGCCCCAACCCCAGCCCCGGCACCGCCCGCCCGCCCGCGCCGCTGCCACGAGCAGCCCGAGCCCCAGCAGCGCCCTCGGGCCCGGCATGCGGCGGGCACGGCCCGGAACGGCCCGGAACGGCCCGGAACGGGGCGCGGAGCTCGGAAGGAGCAGGCGCGGGGCCGCCCCGGGGCGGAGCGACCGTCACCGAGCGCCCGGGCGGGGCCGCGCAGAGCCCGCGGTCCCTCCCCGCGGCGGGACTCGGCGGTCCGTCCAGGCCCCTCCGCCCTCTCCAGTCCCCTGGGGACCTCCGCGGTCCCTCCAGCCCTCGTCTAGGACCCCGCGGTCCATCCAGCCCCTCCTTCCACTCCAGTCTCCCCCGGGACCCCCGCGGTCCCTCCAGTCCCTTCATTCCCCTCACCGCCAGACCCTGGCATGGAAAGGATGGCAGAAACGGAGTGGGGTCAAAACCGTGTTGGCTCGATGGGCCCCCCCGCCCCAACTTGGGGCTGGAGAGCCCTCCCGAGAAACGGCATCTCCCACGTGTCCTGCTGGTCACACAAGGTTGCAGACAAGGGACAGTGTCCTGGTCCCTCTGCGAGGTTCCCGGCGGGGCCAGCAGCTGGTGACAGTGGCAGTGGGGTCATCGCCAGGGCTGCGAGATCACGGAGGCATCACAGGTTGTGGGGGTGTCCAGCGGGAAGCAAAATGGAGTTATGGAGTCATAGACTGCTTTGAGTGGGAAGGGACCTTAAATCCCATCTTGTCCCACCCTCCTGTCATGAGCAGGGACACCTTCCACTAGCCCAGGTTGCTCCAAGCCCCGTCTAACCTGGCCTTGGACACTTCCAGGGATGAGGCAGCCACAGCTTCTCTGGGCAACCCGGGCCAGGGCCTCACCACCCTCACAGGGAAGAATTTCTTCCCCATATCCCATCTACCCCTGCCCTCTGGCAGTGGAAAGCCATTTTCCCATGTCCTGTCACTCCAGCCCTTGTCCAAAGTCCCTCTCCAGTCCTCCTGAAGCCCCTTTAGGCAGTAGCAGGCAGGAGGTTCATACTGGGGTGCTGGAAACCACCCTCAGATCTACTGCCCCATCCACAGGGTAGGGTTTGATGTTGGCTACAAGGTGTCAAAATCCCCAGGCCCTGTGATTTTTGGCTTGGAGATTTGTCCATTGCAGGGATCAGGGGTGTCCCAAGCCCTGCTGGGGGTCTCCACCCCTCAACCCTCCTCTCACAGGACACCCTGGAGCCCAAACCTCCTGTCTGCTCCCTTGTCCACTCCCCTAGGGCATCACCTACCGCTCCAGAGGCCTTGGCTGGAGGGTTTGGTGGTCACGATGCCCTGTGGAACACAGTGTGAGACCTGCAGCCCTGGGCTCTCCACGGAAGTGACACTCCGGTTGTGTTCCATACTTACATGGCTGGAGGTCTGTGTGGGGTGGTGGGGCCAGGCACAGGGGGGTGGTCCTGTTACTGGCAACAAAGTGCAGCTCACGTGGAGGTGGCAGAGAGCATCTGCGTGACAAACTCTCCCCATCCCATCGTGACTGAGCCCTCCCCAGGTTCCAGCTGGAAGTACCCCAAACCCACTCCCCAGAATTACGGATCTTTAAAAATCTCTGGATTTTCCCCATTAACCAGGAGAAGTCCCCAGAGAGACACCACTCGTTGTGCTACATCTGCTGCAGGGGTATTTGGGTACCAGGGGCTGTACTGGGGTGACTCCCTCTCGCCCACCTACCTGTTAGCCTGGGGCTGACTCAGACACCCTGGAGCCACATCGGGACCACCCTCATCCTCCCCAGAGGTGCTCAGGATGCTGTGTGGGTTGCAGGACTCCAGCGCGAGGCCATCAGTCAGGGCCACTCCTCTGCCTCCGGGGAGGAAGGACAAACAGGCAAGAGCAGAGTATCAGACTGTGTTGAAGCCTCAGCTCCGGCAGGAATCTCCTGGATGGCTCAATCCTGCATTTAGTTCTAACCCTCTCACCTGAATGCTTGGGATGTGCTCCTGGCACATACATGTAGAGCTGGTCCTGGGCTTTCCCTCCAAAGGACCTGGAGTGAAGGAAGGAAGGTTTGTCTCCTGGGTGATGCTGGGAACTCATCCCAGAGGGAGGGAGAGGACAGCAGCTTTCCTACTCACACCTCACTCCTCTGGACCCGTGTCCCGCTGGCCTGGGGCAGCATGGAGCAAAACCGCAGCTGGCTGAGCTCCTGCTGGGATGGAGGGATGGCTGGGGCTCATATGTGTGTCCCTCTGCCCACCAAACCTGGGCACCTCTTGCCACCAACCCCTACTGGGGTCCCAGCCCCCAGCCCGCCTGTGTGTCCCACACCCAGGGTGATGCTCACCAGAGCTGGGGTGGGCACTCGGCCCCCACGCTGGGAGAGGCGGCCACTGAGGCAGAGCCGGTGCTGGATGGCATCCGTGAGCTTGTGCACAACCCGCTCTCGGGCAGCTCCGGGGGTGTCCTGTGGTGGACAGAGCCCACATAGATGATGGGCTGAGTGTGTCTGTCCCCAGGGCTGGGGCACCCGTGATGCATAGCAGAGTCTGGCCCTGGAGGTTCCCCAGTGTGTCTTACCTGGCAGTGGGAAAGCAAAGTCAGGGCCTCCTGGTAGTGCCCGATGGCTTTCTGGGGGTCTCCCAGGTGGAAGCAGGCTGTGCCTAGCCCCTCACATGCTTGCCACTGCCCCTGCACGTCCCCTGGGAAGCAAAGGGCAGCATCAGTCCCAGCACAGTGTAGTCGAGGTCCTGGGCAGGGAGCATCACCCGGCTTGAGTCCACTCAGCACCTGGATGCTGCAGACTGCCCGGGGGGGTTTGCCTGTGCCTCCCCTTACCTGAGTCCCGGAAGGCTTGCAGGGCGTGCAGGTAGTTCTCTGCGGCAGCCTCATGGTTCCCGAGCCGGCTCCAGGCATATGCCAGATTCCCAAAGCACTGCCCCTGCGCCCTCCGTTTCCCCAGAGTGCCTGGAATTGGGAACACGGGGCTCCATCCCAAGCCAGTACATCCAGCAAAGCCAAGAGCCGGAGACAGCGGTGTAACCTACCGTGCAGCGCGGCCGCGCGCTGGTGCCAGCCCAGCGCTGTGCCAAAACTGCACAGGGCATTGTGGGCAGCACCCAGGTTCTGCAGCAGTGCAGCCTCCCGGTGCCGGTCCCGCTCCAGCTCTCCTCCGCAGAGCCCGAGGGCCCGCTCGAAGCTCTCAACAGCCAGGGAGAAGATGTGGAGCTGGGAGTAACCCAGGCCGATGTCATTGTAGAGTTTCCCTGGGGGCATAGAGGAAATGTGGGTGCAGGAGCTGCTACCTGGGACCCTTGAGAGCAAAGGGTGCAGCACAGCGTTACCTCGCAGGGCCGGGTCGGGGACGGTCTCACAGAGCGAGCGGCACTGGGCGAGGACCCCTGCGATCTCTGCCGCTCGGAACCGCCGGCTCTGCAGCATGGAGCCACTCGCCCTGCTCAGAGCCACCGCTGCAGCCTCAGGGCTCTCTGCTGCCGTGTAGGTCTGTGCCGCGTCCAGGAAGCACTGCGCGGCTCGTGCCGGCTCCCGCATCCCCAGATAGCAGCAGCCCATCTGCATGTGGGTCCCTGCTCGACTGCCAGCCTGCGACACGTCATTGTGGCCGGTGGCTTTGCCAAAACAAGCCTTAGGAAAGTCCTGAAGCCCTTCCTGAGCTGCCCCAGCGTTGAAATAAAGGTCCCCCGAGTGCTCCCCATTCTCCCTCTCCAAGGGCTGGGACTGGAGGAGGAACTTAAGGGCCTTTCTGGGCTTCCCGGTCTCCACATAGGCAGCCCCCAGGTTGAAGGCACAAGCCCTGCGGAGCTGAGTGCTCACCATGTCCCTGGAGAGGAGCAGGGCCTTCCTGAAGCACCCCACTGCCTCCTGCCCGGCACCCAGTGCCAGTGCCTGGCGCCCGGCTTGTGTGAGCCCCTCAATCGCAGCCACCCTCCCCACCGCCTCATCACCTCCCTCCTGGGCATCTCCCCTGGCTTTGGCCTTCTTCTTTTTCTTCAGGCTCTTCTTGCAGCTGGGAGGGTTGTTGGGGGCTGTGGAGGCTGCAGGGGCTGCAGGGGTGGTGGTGGTGGTGAGGACGGGGTTGTCAGGGGCGGTGGGTTGCACTCCTGGGTTAGCAGCCTCCTCTGAAGCCATAAGCAGGGGCAGTGACCTGTCTACAAGAGAGGCAGAGGCTCAGGCAGCTAAGCTGGCATGATCCTGCCAGGGATCGCTTCAAATGAGCAGTTATTTTATATTATTTACGAAAAATTAGGGAACTCTTGCAGTTTGTTTGCTGCTAAAATTTCAAGGAGGAAAAAGGCCTTTCCACAGAGGACCCTGCTAACCTCGGTGGCCACCAGAGGTGAGAGAGGTCACTCTGGGGGAGCAGGGGAGATGCAGCAGCACGGAGGGGTGGGAAATTCCCGGGGTGCCTTTTTGGGAGGCAGAATAACCATTTGCACATACTTACTGTTTGCTCTTCAGGCGCAAAGGGTGCTGAGAGCAGGGAGGGGAGGGACAGGGCATCCCTGCCGTCGCTGCTGCAAGTCACAGCTCTCTGATGGGGATGGATGGAGGGGGTCCGAGGGGCCTCTCCACCTGGGCTTCCTGGAAAGTTGCCCCGAGCAAGTCGCAGCCCCCCAGTGATGGCCGCTGGCACCTGGTGCTGGAGCACAGCCGAGTTCTGAGTGGCAGGAGCATGGCAGGAGCTGGCACAGGCTGGGACAAAGCTCCTGGGGAAGCACATCCTGCAATGGCTCTGCTGACTCTGGTTTCATCCCTGTCACCAGCATGGTGTGCAGCGCCATGGCAACTCCGTGCAGCAGCACCGGTGTGAGACCTGTCATGGATGGACGGCACAAACTGGGTGACAGTGTCGTGGTTTAAGCCCAGATGGAAACTAGGCACCACACAGCCACTCGCTCAATCCCCCTTTTTCTCCCTTCCAACCCCATGGAATAGGGAGGAGAATCAAAAGTGAAACTTGTAGGTTGAGATAAGAACGGTTTAAAAATAGAAAACAAAGTAAAATACAATAATAATGGTAAGTAATAATAATAAAAAAAAGGGAAAGAAAAAACCCCCAAGTGATAAACAATACAATTGCTCACCACTCACTGACTGATGCCAGACTCCCTTCCCAAACCCAGATCAGCCCCTTCCAGGTAATTTCCCCAGTTTATATACTGGGCATGATGGTCTATGGTGTGGAATATCCCTTTGGCCAGTTTGGGTCACCTGCCCAGGCTATGCTCCCTCCCAGTTTCTTTTGTGAACCTTCTCACTGGCAGAGCATGAGGCACAAAAAACCCTCAAGGTCCTTGACTTAGGAGAAACACAATTTAGCAAAAACCAAAACATTGGCGTTATCAACATTATTCTCATTCTGAATCCAAAACACAGCACTGTGCCAGCTACTGAGAAGAATATTTTAGCTCCATGCCAGCCAGAACCAGGACTGATGGATCCTACAAACACATAGTGGAGGGCACAACTGTGCGCTGGGCAGCACCAGCGCATGATGGACAGGACACAGGCACAAGGGATGACACAACCACGCCATGGATGGCACAACTGGCCCCTCACTGTCTCGGCAGCTCATGGCAGGCGCTGGGGGCTCGGTTCGTGGCAGGGCAGGTCTGTGCTTTGGCGCAGGTTGATGGACAGTTGCAGAGCAAGGAGGGCACAGTGAACCCCAGGGCTGGCCCCCTGGGCCTGGCACAGCCTTGGCCCCTGGGCACAGCCCGTAGTGGGGTCCCTCAGCAGCCCCTGCTTGGACCTTCACCCACCAGTTCCCCCTGCACCCCGGTGCGTGCCAGCCCCTGAACCCCCGGGGTCCTCCCGCCCCCCGGTGTGTGCCACCCCCCGCACCCATAGGCGACCGCTGCATCCCGGCGTGTGGCAACCCCCGCACCCACGGCCTCCCCCCCTCCCCTCGGTGGTCCCCACGCACCCCGTTTTGTGCCACTCCCCGCACCCCCGGGCTCCCCCCGCTCCCCGGTGTGTGCCGGCCCCCGCACCTCCGGGGTCACCCCCCCTCTTCACGACTCCCCACTCCCCTCGGGGGGCCCCCGTCCCCCATCGTGTGTCACTGCCCGCACGCACGGGCCGCCCGGCCCGGCGCTCCCCCCGCCCGCTGCCGGTGCCGGTGCCGGGCCTGCAGCACCCGGCGGCCCCCGCGCGGAGCCACGTGGGCGGCGGGAGATTCAAACCGCGGGTGGAGCCGCCGCCGCCACCGCGGCCATGGAGGGAACCGGGACGGGGCGCTGTGAGTGACCAGCACCGGCAAGGGGGGACTGCCGGGGGAGCAGAGGCGATGGGGAGTGCGGGGGGCCGGGGGGACAGGCAGGTCTGGGGGTGCAGGGGGATGGGGGCCGGGTAAGTCTGGGGCAGTCGGGGGGTGGACAGGGAGGTCCGGGGGTAGGGGGGGATGAGGGGAGCAGGCAGGTCTTGGGGTGCAGGGCGATCTGGGGAGATAGGTAGGTCTGGAGGTGCAGGGGGATCTGGGGGGACAGGTAAGTCTGGGGGTGCAGAGTGATCTGGGGGGAGAGGGGGATGTAGGGGCTGGTAGGTCTGAAGATGCAGAGGGATGAGGGAACAAACAGGTCTGAGGGCGTGCATAGAGGAAGGGCAGTAGTGCGTAAGGTCCCAGGCACCTGGGGACAAACAGGGGGATGTGTTTGAGGAGTTGTTTGGTGGTGGGCAGCCGGGTGCCCCCCAGCAGTCATGGGTGCCTCCAGCACCAGCAGTGCCAAAGGATCCCAAACCTGCAGCTGTGTCCCCCTGAGTGCTCGCTCTGGGCCCCCGCTCCCTGGTGCCAGCTCTGGGTGCCAGCTGTGGCCGTTATTTGGGAAAAAGGGAAGTTGGACACTTTTCCTCCAACCGCCTGAAGGGCCTGGCTGGTGTCACCGTCATGCTGGTGCCTCCCCCATGTGGCTGTGGGAGGCTGCTGTGCCAAAAGCCTGCCTCCCTTTCCCAGATCTTAGTTTGGGTGGCCATGGGGGCTTCCAAAAGCCCCCCCAAGCAGAGGGCTCTGACGGGCACCCCCATCACTGCCCAGGTGAGCGCCTGACTGCGGCCGAGATGGACGAGCAGAGGAGACAGAACGTTGCCTACCAGTACCTCTGTCACCTGGAGGAAGCCAAGCGGTGGGGCTGCACCTGGGGAGCCCCTCGAGCTCAGATTTGGGGGGGAAAAGGGGTGCAAAGGGGAGGGGATGAGAGCAAGGGGTCTGGGTGGGGGGCAGCTATAATGCTGCAGAATCTTACCCAGACTCTGGGTCTTTGTGGCCCTCAAAGATGCTTTTGGGGGTGGTTTTTGGGGGAAGGCTCTCAGCCAAGCACCCAAACTGAGAACCACCTGGCAGCAAAGGGCTGGAGGCCAACCTCCCCTGCCGGGGGCATTTCCGGGGAGGGGGTTGAGGGGGTCTCCTCTGGGTGCTTTTCCTGCCTGGTGGGATGCTGGGATCTGTGATGTGCCCCATCTTTGCCCTGCCAGCTGGATGGAGGCCTGCCTGGGTGAGGGGCTGCCTCCCCCCACTGAGCTGGAGGAGACCCTGCGCAACGGGGTCCTCCTGGCCAAGCTGGGCCACTGCTTCGCCCCGGCTGTGGTCCCGCTGAAGAAGATCTATGATTGTGAGCAGACTCGGTACAAGGTAAGGCTGTGACACCAGGGGTGTGTTCCTTAGGGTGTACAAGTTCAGCCTGACTCTAGCTTCACTTTTCCAGGCAGCTGGGCTTCACTTTCGGCACACGGATAACATCAACTACTGGCGTGATGCCATGAGCCATGTGGGCCTTCCCTCGGTAATGTCCCCCCTCTGCTCTCCCCGGCCAAGGGACACGCTGGCCTCTGCCCTGTGGCAGCACTGTGGGGAGTGCTGGTGTGGCAGGGGATCTTTATCTCTGCCCCTCACCCTTGGGCACCATCCTGCCCAGGGACTGTCTCGATGCCATCCCCACCTGAGCTGTCTCTTGTCTTTCTGGCAGATCTTCCACCCAGAGACCACCGACATCTATGACAAGAAGAACATGCCCCGGGTGGTCTACTGCATCCACGCACTCAGGTGGGTGGCCTGGCCTGGCTGTCACCACTCATGAGCCGCTCATGTTTGTGCTCACGAGCCCTTTGGTGGCATCACCCGCCGGCCTTGGCTGCCACAGAAGCTTTGGGAGGGAGAAGCAGGTGATGTTATGGTCATGGTCTGTCTTTCAGCTTGTACCTCTTCAAGCTGGGGCTGGCTCCTCAGATCCAGGACCTGTATGGCAAAGTGAATTTCACAGGTATGCTGCTGTGTGGGGGGACCTGGGCTGGGGGCTGGTGAGGAGGGGTTTGCCATTGATGTTTTGGGATCCTGTGGCAGGAGGGGTGTGAGGAGTGAAGATTTTGGGTGAGCTTTGCCAAAGCTGCCTCAGGGATGCTCACCCCAGTATGGGGATTTTCTGCACCCCTCTGGTTTGGAAGGGGAACAGGGGCTCTGCTGGCTGCCCCCGCTCCAGTGCTGTCTCTCTGCTCTGCTCCAGAGGAGGAGATCAACAACATGAAGCGTGAGCTGGAGAAGTACGGGCTGCAGTTGCCTGCCTTCAGCAAGATCGGTGGCATTTTGGCCAATGAGCTCTCAGTGGATGAAGCAGCAGGTGACGGGTGCCTGGTGGGGAGCAAGGCTGGGCAATCAGCCCCTGGATACCAGGTCTGAGGCCAGCAAACTTGAGAGGTGGTGCTCTGGGAGGTGGTGGTGGTCTGGGATGCAGCGGAGGCACCTGGTTGCTCACCTTCAGCCCCGCACGTGGTTGCAAGGGCTGGCACAGCCCCTTCCCCGCTACATTACCTGTTCTTGCTGTGAGACACCGAGACTTCCCACGTTCTGGAGACTGCAGCTCACTCTTTGGTGGTTCCCACCATCATGCATGGAGTGGCTCTTGTCCCACTGCGTGCAGGGTTATAGCGGATGGTCCATCTCACTCCTCCATGTCTCATCTCACCCCCCTCCTTCCCACCTCGCCTCCAGTCCACGCCGCAGTGCTGGCGATCAACGAAGCTGTGGATCGGGGGGTGGTGGCCCAGACGATGGAGACCCTCCGCAACCCCAGCGCGATGCTGCAGGACCTGCGTGGGGAGCTGGCAGGTGCCTACCAGGAGGTGCTGCACCGGGCAAAGCTGGAGAAGGGCAGCAATGCCAGGAACAGGGTGAGGAGGGCATGGGGGGCTGGGGGGGGGGCAGCTGAGAGAGGAGCAGCCCCTTTGCTGATGGGTTCTTCAAGCTGGAGGGGTCCCTTGGCCACAGACCATATGGTGATTGCTGGGTGAAACACAACCTGGGAGCCCTTGTGCTGAGCAGAAGATGGGGGAGATGATTCCTCTTTGGGGGCCTAGTTGATCCCCAGGGCTTGGAATTGGGAAATGAGCCCAGGCACCTGCAAGGGACCCTGCTGTGTGCTGTGGGGTGAGCTTGGGAGGAAAGCTCAGGGTGAGGAGTCTCTCTCCAGTATCTGCAGGTGATCCCTGAGGGAGAGGATGTCTATGACCGGTGTCTGACCCAGGCTGAAATCCAGGGGAACATCAACAAAGTGAACGGTGAGGGAAGGTGGGGCTTTCCTCTTGGGGGGGGGCTCTAGGGCTTATGGTGGGACCATAGTACCCCAGGGCATGAGGAGAGTGATGGCTATAGCAGGAAGGAGTGATGCAGACCCATCAGGGATCAGGGCTGGATGTGCATTTCCAAGGAGAAATTAAAATGATGGGTATGCAGGCTTCAGCCATAGCTGCCTTTGCTCCCTGAAGCTGTGGGATGATTTACCTGCTGACCTCTGGGATGGACTGGCCTCTTGTAGTGCACGGGGCTCTGGAGGAGGTGGACGATGCCCTGCAGACACAGGATGTGCCAGCACTGCACCGGGCGCTGCAGGACCCCGTCCTGGCCCTGCGCTGCCTCCAGCGTGACAACCTCCAGCTCTACTTGGAGCAGCTCAGCATGGACCGGGAGCAGAAGGCACTGGTAGGTGCTGGCAGGAGCCCATGGTGTGGGGTACCTGTGCTGGGGGTGCACCCCCGTGGTCCTGAGGAGGAGGAGGGTCCCCTGGGTGGGAGTTGCTCTGCGGGTCGGCAGATTTCTGACAGGGTCTGAGCACGGCTCCTCCATCGGTGTGAGCAGGATGAGGTGTGAGACCCAACACCCATCTCTGCCCACTGCAGGACCTGGGCTACCTGGAGATGCTGGACCAGAAGGAGGTGCAGGCAGGGATCCTCACAGCCAACAGGAGGGGCGAGGAGGAGCGAGCCAGTGAGTGCCAACAGGGACATGGTGCTCGCAGTGCTGCCCTGTGAATGCCCAGGAGCTGGTGCCCTTGCCAGCAGCCTGGCCAAAGGGAGACCAGGCACGGCCACCTCCTGCAGCCCCCCTGTGCCAGCTCCCCTGGTCTGTCCCTCAGTGCTGCTGGCTGTCAGCCGGATCAACGCCGCCATCCGCCGAGGGATGCTGGCTGAAACCTTGGAAGCGCTGACGGACCCTGCGGCGCAGCTGCCCGATGTGCACCCCTCTGCTGCCCCCCTGTACCAGCGCCAGCTGGCCCTGCTGCAGCGCCAGCACCCACAGGTGAGAGATCCCCAGGCACGGGAGATGAGGGGGATTGGTGCTTCCCCTGCGCCCGGGGGTGCTGGGCTGGAGGAGGGGGTTATGAGGGATCAGTGTCTCCGTCTGCCCCGGGCAGGGTGAGCTGGCACAGGAGGAGCTGTTCGTGGCTGTGGAGATGCTCTCGGCTGTGGCGCTGGTCAACCAAGCCCTGGATGTCGGGGATCCCGACGGGCTCTGGAGCAGCCTGGTCAGCCCTGCCCTGGGCCTCTCGGGAGTTGAGGATGCAAATGCACAACGGTGAGAAGATGGGCTCTGTGTTTGGGGTCAGTGTGGAGAAATCCAGTGGGAGGGGATGGTCAGTCGGCCTGCGCTTTTCATGGGTTTGTTCCAGCAGCCTCCTGCCCTGTGCCTTGCCTTTCCCCTCTGAAGAGCCAGGCAGCTGGCTATGGCAGGCACCATCCTGCTCGGAATGCACTGAACCCTGCTTGGAATGCACTAAGCCATTGCCCTGTGTCTCTCCTTCAGGTACTTTGAGGACTTGCAGCAGCTGAAAGGCCAACCTAGGGAAGCGGGAGCTGAATTCCTGAGCTGGAATGATATTCAGGACAGTGTGAACAGCACCAATTCATTGGTGCAGGATGAAAATGACAGTGAGTCCTGCCCGCATGGAGTTTGGGCGTGCAGGGGGGTCTGCAGACACCCCAGGTAGGGAGGTTGCACTGGGATTCCAGCCCCAGAGAACCTTGCACCACCCTGGGCTGTGACTCCCTTAGGTGCCTGGAACACGGGGGGTTGAGCAGCATGTCCCTTTCCCTCCCACGCAGGAGTCCACGCGGTCAGGCTGGTCAATGAGGCGCTGCTGCAGGCAGACCCCGAGAAGACGCTGGCGGCGCTGCTGCTGCTGGAGGCTGCCCTACCCGACATCGCCCTCCCAACCGCCCAGCGCTACCACGACGTCCTGTCCCGGGCACGGAGGCAGAAAGCCCAGGTGGGGTGGGGGTCGTCAGCTGTGGAGTACCTCCATGGAAGCATGGCATCCCCCCTGGCTGTGGGGTACCCCACTGACTGCATGGCATCCCCCCTGGCTGTGGGGTACCCCACTGACTGCATGGCATTCCGCCCTGGATGTGGGGTACCCCACCTTGGTGGCATGGCATCCCCCAAGGCTGTGAAGTACCCCCCACCCCCATTAGTGCAGCACCCTGCGAAGCAGAAGGTGCTCAAGGGGGGCTGCCCAGCTTGTTGGACTCCATTTCCCCCCGTGCCCAACTCTGCTGTCTCACAGGCCATGGGGGATGACGGAGCTGTGCTTTGGTGGGAAGAGATCCAGGAAGGGGTCTGCCGGGCTAACCAGGACACAGTGGCAGCCAGAAGGAGTGAGTGCTCTCCCCACACAGGCTCTGGGTGCTGAGCCCCTGTGGGCTGGGGTGCTGCTGTGGGGGTCAGAGGACGAGAAGGTGCTGACGTGAGCCCCCTCTGTTCCCTCAGTGGCTCTGGGCATTGCTGCCATCAACCAGGCCATCAAGGAAGGGAAGGCGGCGCAGACGCTGCGGGTGCTGCGCAACCCTGACGTGGCCCTGTGTGGTGTGGTGAGCGCCTGTGCTGGTGCCTACCAGGAGCAGCTGGCGGCTCTGGTGGCCACCAAGAGACCGGCAGGTAAAACCTTGGGAGCTGCAGAACTGCCCCCCCTCCACCTGAGGTGTTCGAGGGGAGCAGCACCACCCAGCAGTTCCTGTCTGTCCTGGCGTGCAGGGAGTGAGAAGCTGTACTGGATCCGGCACAGGCTGCCAGACGGTGCCGAGTACTACCTGAGCCTGAAGACCTTTGAGGGCAGCTGGCAGTGCCCACACGACGGCGGCCTCAACACCACACACCTGAGCCGGGAGGAGATCCAGGTACAGGCCGGATGGGGCTGCGTGGGCACCGGTGGCATCACTGGGGCTGAGCTGGTGCCTCATGTCCCCACAGTTGGTTGTCACCCGAGTGACGGCAGCGCACGACCGGGAGTGCCTGTGGGCATCCAACACCGCCTTCGTGGTGAGGCTGCAGGCTCGGATCCGGGGCTTCCTTGTTCGCCGGGAGTTCGCGGCACGACGGCACATCCTGCGGGAGCAGCAGCCGGCTGCCGTCAGGATCCAGGTGATGCAGCCAGAATCCATCCCACCTCTGTGCCAGGGACACAGCATCCTCTGGCGGGTCCAGCGACCTCTGCCATTTCACTGCTGGGGCCCCCCGAGGTGCTGCAGAGGGTGGTGTGGGGCTTGTTTCTCTCACAGCAGCTGCTTTGGGTGCTGTTTTCCTCTTTTCTTGTGCTGCGTTATCCTCTTCCCTTGTGTGCTCCTGACTGGGAGTCATGGTGACCTCATGCAGGTCTCTAGCTGGTGTCTTCTCTTGTGCCCAGGCTTGTTGGAGGGGGTACAAGCAGCGCAGAGCTTACCTGGAGAGGCTGTGTTACCTGCGAGCCAACGCAGAGGCTGCAATCAAGGTTGGGAAGACTCTTCCTTCAGCCTTTGCTCCCTCGTTGGGCATTGCCACCCTCTTGCTCAGCTGCAGGGTGGCATCTACCCCCTGCCCAGTGCAGAGGAGCCAGGGAGGATATGGCAGCTGGGCCAGGGCAGCGTGTGAGGGGATAAGGGAGAACATCTTGCAAAAATCATTGAATAGAATTATGGACTTGTTGAGCTTGGTAAAGCTCTTGAAGATCATTGAGTCAAACTGTTCCCCCAGCACTGCCAAGGCCACCACTAACCCATGTCCCCAAGTGCCACATGTCTGTTAAATTCCTACAGAGATGGTGACTTCACCATTGCCCTGGGCAGCCTGTGCCATGAAGAAATTTTCCCTAGTGTCCAATCTAAACCTCTGGAAATCCTCAGTTTCCCCCCTCTCCACCCACTTGCTTTGGCCAAGTGACTCCTTGCAGAATCCAACTATTTGAACATCTCTTCCAGATCCAGGCGGGTGTGAGGATGTGGCAGGCTCGGAGGAAGTACCAGGAGAGGCTGCGCTACTTCAGGCAGAATGTCAGTGATGGGATGGGAGCAAAACAGCTCCTGGGAACATGTTGGTGGGGATGGAGGAGAATGATCTGGAGCCCATGGTTGGATCTCCTTCCCTGAGTGCTTGTGGCACAGCTGGAGGGAGAACTGCTGCATCCTGGCCAAGGGGGACAGATGGGAAGGAAAATGTGCCGGGGGGGTCTGGAAGCCAAACTATCAGGCTCTTTGAGGTGTGAGGAGAGACAAAAACCACTCCAGTTCCATCAAAACCCAGGGAATTCAAGATGCCCATTAGAGGGGAAGGAAATTTTGGGGGAAAGGGAGGTATTGGCTGCAGGAAGCGAAGCTGCACCTCTGGAGTTGCTGCAGCTTCTGAAATACAGTGAGCACAGGAGAACAACTGCTGAGGAGGGTGGAATCCCAAAATCCCTCCCTGGTTGTGGAGACCCTCATCCCAGGCCTTGGCACACTGCCAGCAGTGGGAGCAGGCACCCAAATGCCTGTCCAGCTCTCCTCCACTCCCCACGTGTGTCAGGGATGCTGTGAGGAAACATCCCCCATCCCCTTGTTTGTCTTGGCAGATTAAAGCTGTAATTAAAATCCAGGCTTTTGTGCGAGCGAACAAGGCCCGTGGGGATTACAGGATGCTGGGTAAGTGTCTGCTCATTGCTGCTCTGAAGTGTGAGGGCTAATTGGGAAGGGGGCTCTGCCTCCTCTCTCACTGGCCTTGCATGGTGGGGAGGTGGTGGCAGGCTGGCCATCGGTGCCCCTGTGGTAAGGACAGGAGTGACAGATCCTTGGTGGTTCCTGGGCATCAGCCTTGGAGCTGCCCCTCTGCCCCCAAAAGCTTCCTAGGGGCTGTTGTACGGTGTGGCCATGCCCTGTCCCATGTCCTAGTACTGCAAGAAGATGCTTTTTCCGGGAGGATGGGGTCTCTGGGTGAGATCCTGGGGGTGCAAGGGTCTGTGATGGGGGTGGCTGCTCTGCCCCCTGCAAGCATGCACGGTGTCGCTGTGTCTTGCTGCAGTCCATGCCAGGAGGCCACCACTGAGCATCGTCCGGCGCTTCATCCACTTGCTGGAGCAGAGCCAGCATGACTTCTGGGAGGAGTCAGAGGTGCTGCGGCTGCAGGAGGAGGTGGTGAAGAGGATCCGCGCCAGCCGGCGACTGGAGAGTGACCTGGACCTCATGGACATCAAGATCGGGCTGCTGGTCAAGAACAGGATCACGCTGCAGGTGGGGAGCAGGGCAGGGGTCAGGGGAGGATCTCAGACATCTCATGTGGTCCTGCCAAAGTGCCTGAGCCCGTTGGTCCTGCTCTCCATGGCATTGCAGCTTGGACTTATCTCTGCTTCACTCTTCAAGTGGTTGGAGGGGTTGGGAGGGGTTGAGGAGCACTGGGATGCCTCAGGCTCTTCCCAGAGGCTGGTCGGAATGCCGGAGCCTATGGCAGTCCCCAGCACTTCTCTCCCTGCCCACGTGGCTGCAGGAGGTGGTCTCCCACTGCAAGAAGCTGACAAAGAAGAACAAGGAGCAGCTCTCAGAGATGATGTCCATAGACAAGCAGAAGGGGCTCAAGTCACTCAGCAAGGAGAAGCGGCAGAAGCTGGAGGCCTACCAGCACCTCTTCTACCTGCTGCAGGTGGGGCTGGTGGGGATCTGCTGTGTCGCCCACAGTGGGGGGGCAGTGTGGGGACCTGGTCCCCCAGCACTCCACAACATTTGGGTTAGCTTGGTGTCCCTCCTGCCTGCAGACACAGCCAGTCTACTTGGCCAGGCTGATCTTCCAGATGCCCCAGAACAAGTCCACCAAATTCATGGAGTCAGTAATCTTCACGCTTTACAACTACGCATCCAACCCGCGGGAGGCTTATCTGCTGCTCCAGCTCTTCAAAGTGGCGCTGCAGGAGGAGGTCAGGTGGGTGTCCATGAGTGTCCTGGTCTGGGGACAGGCCTGGGCAAAGGCTGAACCAAGGGCATCATCTTGGATGCAGTTATCTCCTCTGGCTACTCCCTCCTGCTTGGAGAACACACATACTGGTCCATCCCCTCATCCCATCTGCCCTGTCTCTCTCCCCAGGTCCAAGGTGGACCATGTCCATGACATCCTGATGGGGAATGCCACGGTGATCCGGCTGGTGGTCAGCTTCTACCGCAACGCGCGTGGGCAGAACGCTCTGCGGCAGATCCTGAGCGGCCCAGTGCAGGAGGTCCTGCAGGACAAGGCCCTTGGCATCCGTACCAACCCTGTGGACATCTACAAGGCGTGGATCAACCAGGCTGAGTCACAGAGTGGGCAGAGAAGGTCAGGCCCTGGGCGAGGAGGCTTGGCCCGACCGCAGGGTGACAGGCGTTGGGATGGTGATGGGGATCTTCCTTTCACAGCAAGTTCCCATATGAGGTCAGCCCTGAGCAGGCTCTCAGCCACCCTGAGGTCCAAAGGCGGCTAGATATTTCTATCCAAAACCTCCTGGCAATGACAGACAAGTTCGTCTCTGCCATCACCTCTTCCGTTGACAAGATCCCGTATGTATCCCTATGGTTTCTGTGCCCGCCCGGGAGCACTGCCGGCTCAGAGGTGTCTCTAGCGAGGCCTTAGAAAGGAGGTTTGGTGACTGGGGTCCTCCTGCCCCTTCAGTGCTGCAGGGCTGTTTTACTGCACTGTCAGCAAGCTGAAACCAAATATCAGCAGTGCCCCATGGGCTGGCTCTTTGGACCACTCTGAGTGCTTTACTGCTGGTGTTGAGGTGTTGCCAGGGAGAATCTGAGCTGTGGTCATCTCAGAGGATGAAGGCTTCCTCCAGGGATGTCTGGGCTGGCAGCAGGGTAGAGGAGGGAACCGAGGGATGCTGCAGCTGCCGGCCCCTCCTGTGGGCTCCTCCATTGCCCCAGGGCTGGGGGTTTCCTGTATCTTGAGTTGTGGGTGGTAGAGAGCTGGGGCAGGGTGGTCCTTCATGCTGATGGACCTTTCCCTGCCCTCTCCTCAGCTATGGCATGCGCTACATGGCCAAAATCCTGAGGACATCTTTGATTGAGAAATTCCCCAAGGCCCCGGCAGAGGAAATCGATAAGGTACCCTGGGGCTGGGGGGCTCTGTGCCGTTTGGTGGGGTTCATCTGTGTCTGCACGTGAAGGGCCAGTATCTCTTCACAGAAAGTCAAGTCCTCTGGACTTAAAAATACCTCCAAGTCAGTATTTTCCATGAGCCACTAAGGAAATGCCAAAGGTGGGCTCTTCTCAAGGGTGCCATCCCCTCTGGGAGGCTCCCACAGGGCAGCGCAAGGATGCAACACCCTTCCCTGCTGAGCCACCACCTCCTCGGGCCTCAGCCTGCCTGCTCCTCCAACCCTCAGCCTGTCTCGTGCCCTAGATTGTGGGCAACCTGCTCTACTACCGCTTCATGAACCCGGCTGTGGTGGCCCCTGATGGCTTTGACATCGTGGACATCTCGGCTGGGGCGACCCTGCACCCCGAGCAGCGCCGCAGCCTGGGCTCCATCGCCAAAGTGCTGCAGCACGCAGCCGCCCGCAAGGCCTTCGACGGGGAGAACGCGCATCTCTGCGGGGTGAACCAGTACCTGGAGGACACCCACAACAAGTTCAGGTGGGCACCAGGACAGCATTGGGGTGAGAAGGCGACTGTGAGCCAGTGGCAGGGTTTTGGGGTTGACCGAAGGGGTCCTTCTCTGCAGGAGGTTCATCTCTGCTGCCTGCTGTGTCCCTGAACCAGAAGAGAGGTTTAATATGGATGAGTACTCAGAGATGGTGGCGGTGGCCAAACCAGTCATCTACATCACTGTGGGGGAGCTCATCAACACACACAAGGTAAGGGCATAAAGCTCACAGCAAGCGAGCTCTGTTTCCTCTGCTCCCACCTCCTGGGCTTTCTGCCGCATTTCCTCACACTCTTCTGTGTCCCACCCCCAGCACAGCTCCTTTCCTCCTGACTCTTTTTTCTTTTTTAAGCAAGGAAATAACCCAGATTCTGCAGGTTTGTTGCTGCTTGTCCTTCCCTGAACATCATATCTGCTCCATCCCCTTTCGGGTGTAAAGGATGCAAAGGGGGCCCTCTCTCCCTCTTCCTTTGCATCCTCCTTTGCCACTGACTCATCCCTTGCATCGTCCAGCTCCTGCTCGAGCACCAGGACTCCATCGCACCGCATCATGGAGATCCTCTGCACGAGCTCCTGGAGGATCTTGATGAGATTCCTACAGTCCAGTCCCTGGTTGGTAGGTCAAACTCTGGGACACACCACCCACACTGTCAGGAGGAGGGTGGACATGGGGACAATTTGACTTGCATGAAGCTTGATCTGGATTCCTTCTGTGTGGGAAACTGACCCTTTGGAGCCCAACACAGCTAGCAGGGCTCTCTCTGCCCTTGTAGGGGAAAGTGTTGCCAGCCTGGCAGACAGTGGTGCTGAGCAGGTGCTCTCTCAGCTCAGCAGAACAGAGATCTCCCTTACCCTCACTGGCAAGCTGCTGCCAGCGGCCAGCAGTGAGGAGAGTGACACGAGGAGCTTGCTGCTGAGGTGAGGATGGGCCCCACGGGCATTGGGATTGTGCTGGGGGCTGGGATACTCTAGAGGGGCAAGAAACCCTTGCGTGGAAAGTAAATATTGTGAGCCAGGGTGGTGGTCTGGAGTGGATGCCTGACGTCTCACTCTGGTCTCTAGCACCAAGCAGATGCTGGTGGATGTGATCCAGTCCCAGTCAGGAGATTCCCTCCCAGAAATCCTGTGGACACAAGCCTTGGAGCACGAGGTGGGTTGAGTGAGGCTGCTGCTGGGCATGAGCTAAAAATGTTTGCAGCGAAATGGCAAAAAAACCCTCAGCAAAAAGCTGCCCTGCTCCTCTTGGAGCCTTGGCCACTGCTCTTGTGCTCCAGCAAGAGCTCCAGCAAGAGCTCCAGAAACATGTGTTCTGGACCAGGAGAGATCCACATCAAACTGTGCGAGAGGGGGTTTGGTTGCTCCATCTCCTCGTGCCCCATTTCAGCTGCGTTCCAGGCTCAATGCCTTCTCATCCCTAGGAAGCTGCCCACGACCGTCTCGTGCACAGGCGAGCGCTGCAGGATGCTCAGACCCCCACCCAGCTGAAGTGGCACCGCTCCCTGGCTGCCAACGGTCAACTCTCCATGGAGGAGAAGAAGCGCAAGATCATCCGTAACCTGCGGCACTTGGAGAGCCTGGGGCTGGTGGACTCTGCCCACCAGTACCAGGAGCTCATTGATGCGCTGGCCAAGGTGTGCTGAGTCAGCCCCCCTGAGATCCTGCTCTGGTGCTCTGAGAAAGCTCAGAATGAGGTATATTGGCTTTCTTGCCTGGCTTTGTTCCCTCCAGGACATCCGGAACCAGCGGCGCCACCGGCAGCACCGCCGCGCGGAGCTCCTGAAGCTGAGGCAGACCCTGCACAGCCTCGATGCCAAGACCTTATTTTATGAGGAGCAAATTGATTATTACAACCAGTACATCAAGACCTGCCTCGACAACCTGGCAGCCAGCAACAAGTATGGTTTCTTACCAAAAATCAGTACTTTTTTAAAAAAACCCATTATTTGTTTTCATTGCTCCCTGGTTGTTGTGACTCCTGGAGATGTTGGGGGTCCAAGGGGACACAGATGGCTGGAGATGAGCTTTCAGCATGTGGTTCCTCCTCTTCCAGGGTCAGCAGGAAGAGTAAGAAGCTGCCGTCGCTGCACTACACGGCGGCCCGGCTGTTGGAGAAGGGAGTGCTGCTGGAGATCCAGGACCTGCCACCCAGCCAGTATGTAGCCCTGGCTCCATGGGAGGAGCTGTTACTTGGGGTTGTCCTGTGTCAGGGCCAGGAGTTGGACTCGATGATCCTTGCGGGTCCCTTCCGACTCAGGATATTCCATGAAAGCTTGAGCAGGTAGAGGAAAATAACCCAGGAGGAGAATGCATATGAGCCACCATTGTTCTCCTGGGATGGGGCAAGTAGTTTCATGTAGGAGAACAAGGGACAGTTGGGATTTGGAGGGGGGATTTGGGCTGTGGGTCTGGCTGCTGTGCTGAGGGGTTGTGCTGGGTGGGTGACCAGCTCCTTGGTTGCCTTAAAGCCATGAAGCTCCTTCTGGCAGTGAGTGGCTCTGTCTCCTCAGGTTCAAGAATGTGATTTTTGACATCATCCCCTGTGAGGAATCGGGCAAGTTCCAGGTGAAAGCCAAATTCATGGGAATTGACATGGAGCACTTCCAGCTGCACTACCAGGTGGGGAGCCTGTCCTGGGGCTGCCGGTGCCCAGCCAGGCCAGGGGGTGCAGGGGACAGGTGGTGTCCCCCCGCCTGCAGTTTTTGGGGGACTCAGAGCCCATGGGGAGCCCTGCCCTGAGCTGGGGACAGCCTTGTCGTGCATCTCCCACTGCAAGCCCAGCTCTGAGCTGATCCTTCTTCCCGGGCATGGGGCTGGTGGCAGTGACGGTCACCTCTCTCACAGGACCTGCTGCAGCTGCAGTACGAGGGCGTAGCAGTCATGAAGATGTTTGGTAAGGCCAAGGTCAACGTTAACCTGCTCATTTTCCTCCTCAACAAGAAGTTCTTCAAGAAGTAACAGGGGTGGGGGGGTGGAATGGGCTACGGGGACGGGGGGACCGATGAAAACCTGCCAAAGGCACCTTGGGGTTAGTGATCCTGGGGTAGGGAAGTTTCCGCTGGCCATGCATCTTTCCTGCCTGGACACAGAGTGCTTGAGCACCTGCAGCTGGCTCAGCCCCAGCCCTGGGCACCCCAAGCTCGGTACTGAGCCGGTACCTGACCTCCTCGCAGAAGGATGCGGCTGCCAAAGCTTTTGCAGCACGTGTTGCTTTTAAAATCTATTTTTTTTGTGGGTATTTTGGCTGTTTAGTTCCTGTGTTGCCAACAGCCAGCTGCTCAAGGACACTGGATTTCTGGACACTACACAGGTTTTTAGTGATGTAATAAAGGTATTTTAATATATATATATTTTTTTCTTCCTCACAGTAAGGCTGGAGAAATGTCAGAATCAGTCTTTATATTGGGGGGTAGGAGAGGGGCAGAACATAGAGGCAATAACTGCTTGTGAGGACATCCATGGCTGTTCCCTACTAAACTGAGGTGCAATAGGAGAATGTTGGTTTCCAAAGATGAATTTCATTGCTCTCCAGCCAGGCTGAGAACAGATACAAAGCAGGGTGGCTCAGAGCCACTGCTCTCCCATGGATGCCACAGGGCACCAGAGCAGGGACCTCCCCTTTCTGGGTTTGCCTGGTATTGGATGTGGAGCAATCCCATGGCACTGTCTCAGCTGGGATGGTGATGTCTCTCTCCCCTCTTTATTTGCTCTGGTGGGAGCAAAGTTTTCAAATGTGGATAATGATCGAGTTTGTCCACGGATGCATTTAAAGCACTTTCTCTTCATGTGAGTCCCTTCCCTGGGATGGGAAGGGAGCTGGTGGCAGTCCCAACCTCCTCCCAGCCCTGTCTCCATCAGGCATAGGAGCAGCAAGTCCCAAACCTGCTCATAAAGGAACTTTTTGGGGGGATCGGATTTGGAATCTCCCTCACTGCTCAAGTAACTGCCTTGGGTTAGGGTTAGCCTTGAAGCTGGCTCAATGGTACCTCATCTATTGCCATCTGGGGCTCTGTCTTGTCTTTGAAAAGTGATGTTTGTTTGTGAGGGTTTTATGTGTTTTTTCTTTCCCTTCTGTCATATAAAAGCTGCAAACGGTGCTTACCCTCATCCCTGCCCATGCTGGATTCCTGCTGTGCTGCCTCTGCTTGTTTACTTTAAATAAAGTTGTATTAGAAAATGCAGAATTGCTCTGGATCATTGTTTCCCCGTGGTCCTCACAAGCCTCTCCCCTGGCTTATCAGGGTCTTTCAGACTCATGACATTCTCTACAGTCTCCCATGTCCAAAGAAGGTGCTTGTGGCCGTGGGCACCAGCCATTAACCACCGTTAGATGGGGACCGGCTCCCTCGCAGTGGTGCCGAGTCAGGCACTGAGGCACCGACTCAGCTCTTGCACGGGGAATTTAGGCCACTTTCAGACACATTTAATTCTTAAATAAATACTATGATTACATCTCCTAAAGACTATGATTATATCTCTACAGGAGTGAAGCAGGATCAAGCTGCAGCACTCTTCCGGGTTTAAAACAGGATCTGTTGGCTGCTGTGGGTGCTGCTCTGTCTGCAGGGAGATGATCCGGAGGAGTTGCTGCTGCATGTTCCCATCACCACGCTGGGGTTTTTTTTATTCCAGTTAGTATATTTGTTTATTTTTCTTACCTTCCTTGCCTTCAGAGGAGAATCCAGCGTGTCTGGCTGTGGCTCGGTGTGGTTTGTTGCCACCAGCCACCTCCCAGAGCAGTTGCTGGATTTGCAGCAGCAACATTTGGCACACTAAAACCATTTATTTGGGATGTTTTGGGGATGGAGGAGAACCTGAGGTAAAGACTCCACATAACGATAATAATCCCTAGCTCTTCATTAAGCACAGTCGCAGCACGACTGGAGGGGACTCAGTTTTGCTGTGGAAAAGGTGATTTTTTGGGCTCCCAGGAAGCTGTGCTGTGGCCAACCATGACTCAGAAATGGGGTGTTGGCTCTTGCCTCGTGCCCACACGTTTTGGAGAGAAGGTTGGAGGGGAGAATTCAGCCCTGGGAGCGCTGGGGGAGGCCTGGCGCTGGCACTGGCTCGCTGAGCTCCTCCCGAGGTGGCTCCACTAGATGTCATTGCAAGCTGGGGATAAGCTCGTGGCTGTGGCCACCTGGGCACCAGCCGCAGGTGCTTGGAGCACCCGACAGCACTGCGGGTACCAGCAGCCCCCCCACAGGATCCTGAGGGACCGTGCTGCAAACACACATGGTGTGGCCCCGGCTGGAGGGGTGGATCCATCACAGTGATCCCAGGACATCCCAAATGGGACAAAGCGAGACTGAGGCTCACAAGTGACAGGGATTCATCCTCACAGCACAGCCTCTGGCCTCTCCTCTGCCCTGGCAGCTTTTCCCAGGGCACTGGGCTCACTAGGGGCTCTGTGGTGCCTGCCCAGGCTGGGACTGTGAAAGGGGCCTGGGAGGAAAGCCCATCCTGAGAGGTATTCTTTGGGAATGGGGAGAAAGGAAGAGATTTGGGCTCCCCCCGAAGCTCATATTTCATATCAGAGGATCCTACAATGGTTTGGATGGCACCTTAGAGCTCATCAGGCTTATCCACCTTAGAGCTCATCCATGAGCTCATCAGGCTCTTGCGATGGAGCACGAACATCTTCCACTATCCCAGGTTGCTCCAAGCCCTGTCCAACCTGGCCTTGAACACTTCCAGGGATGGGGTAACCACAGCTTCTCTGGGCAACCTGTGCCAGGGCCTTACCATGCTCACAGGGAAGAATTTCCTCCCAATATCCCATCTAACCGTGCTCTCTGTTAGTGTGAAGCCATTCCCCCACATCCTGTCACTCTTTAGGTACAGAAAGGTACTGTTTCACCTTGTCCAGCTCCTGCAGGTCCTGTCCAATGCCTGACCCACGAGTATTCTCTGCATGGACAGGGAATCATTGTGCTTGCAGAGAGTCCCTTCACTGACCTCCCCACTCTGCACCTTATACTATAAGTATGTGTATAGATGTGTGTGTGAGAGAGAGAGAAAAATGGCACCCGGATACTGGATATGTGTTACGTATTTCACATCTCACCCAGCTGGACTGGGTATAAATCCTGCAGCCTGTGGCCCTGTATGTGTAGGAATTAGGGAGATTGGAGGCAGCTGCCAAGTGTAATCCATGGGGAAACGTGCCACCAAACCCACACTGGGACACTTGCTGCCCTGGTCTGGGGTGGGAAAGAGGCTGCTGAGGTTTCCCAGGTTTTGGGAGGGAGAGGTGAGATATGATGGAGGAGTTTTGGGAGGTTCAGGGCTGGGAGCTCACTGTTCTGGCAGCATTCTCTGTCCACTCCAGCCTGCTCGTGGGAACCCACACCCAACAGGGATGAAAAGTTGTTAAACTGGGCTCAGAAAGCTGCTGCCACGAGTCCTGATCCTGCCAGCTTGGGACTGCATGGCCTGGTGCAGCAGGTGCTGGGGGCTGATGCTGGGAGTTGGTGCTGGGTGATGGATGCTGGTTCTGATGGTGGGTATTGGGTGCTGGTTCTGGGTGCTGAGTGCTGGGTACTGGTGCTGGACGATCGTGCTGGGTGCTGGAGCTGGTGCTGGGCAGGCCGGCTCGAAGGCAGAGCTCCCCCAGAGCCGCTGTCCCCGCTGTCACGTGCCACAGCGATGCTAATCCCGTTTTGAAAGCCCGCGTCCCGCACTGCACCCGCTAATCCCCCTCAGTGCCACGGCTGCGGGGCTCCGCGCTGCCTCGGGGAGCCCCAGGGTGTCCCTGCCCCTGGGTTCCTCTACAGGCACATCTGCCTGAGCCCACATCCTCTGCTCCAAGCCCCGAGGATGCTCAGGTGCTCCCTGCCCTGTGCAAACGGGTGCTGAGTCCTGGACACCCGCAAAACACACCTTGATAGAGGCTGGGCCGTACCGGGTCAGGACATCTCAGCAGTCCCTGGAAGCGCCGCGCTGCCCAGGAGGAGGGAAGAATTCACTTACTTGGCCAACCTGGCTTCGGCACAGCCCCGGTCACTCAGCACGACGACCTTGGCGGCAGCACCGAGGAGGCAGGTGAGCGGCTCGAACCTGCCTGTGTCGGAGCGGGGCCCCTCCCCGGGAGCAGCCGCCTTCCCGGCAGCGCCGGGGGCTCTGCACCGCGGCTCCTGCTGGGGTGGCGCAGGCTTCGTGCGCCGAGGAGCAATATTGTTGTTCCCTTCCGATGGCAGCAGCTTCCTCGTGGGAGAGGGGGAAAAAGCACAAACCGAACTGGGGAGAAAATAAGAGGGGAATGTTTGCCGACTGTCTGCTGTGTGTTGTTGCTGTTTGTTGTGTTTCTGCGGTTGCTTTGGCAACCGCGGGAAGATATGCCAGGCTGTAGCATGGCGGGTACCAGCGCGGCGTGCGAGAAGCCGGGGCTCCGCTCCCACAGGGCCAAGCTGCCGGCCCGGTGGCAGCCCCCGGTGGGGCTGGAGGGCTTCAGGCAGGGGATTGATGGGGTCACGTTGGTGCCCAGCTCAGCTGCTGCCCTCCTGAGCGAGCCTGTGGTGGGCACTTGCTTCGCACCGCATGGACCTTCCGAGAGAGACCTGGCTCAGAGACGAGCAAAGGAAGAGTGACTGGAGGGTCCGATGGGTTATCTCTGCCATGGGGACAGCAGCCAGCCCCACTGTTCCCCAGGAGCCTAGGAGTGTCTGGGCTCATCCCCTCCCTCCTTGTCCAGAGGAAAGGGAGCGAAACAGCCGTGTTGTGGAGGGGCAGCCGCTGCCATGCAGCGCTTGCCAGAGGGGCATCAGGAAATGCCGAGTGTGAGGGCATCTCTGTCTATCCAAGGAAGGAGCCATTCCTCTGGTACTGGAGCACCAAACCGTGGCCTAACACAGGCAGGGTCATGCTGCTTTCTGTCTCCTGTAGCTCCGTCTCCTGCATTGTGGGGCAGAGAGGGCTGCTGCCTGTGTGGCAGTGGGGGATGGAGCCAGGATCCTGAGGGGCAGCGTGGGACTAGGGGGACCAGGGCAGAGGAGCCTGGCCGAGGAGGGGACGGGGCCAAGAGCAGCTCGGGGAGGATGGGGATGCTCCCAGAGCCACTCTCTCCCTCCTGCAGCCCCGGGATCTGTGCAAGCTGACATCCGTCAGAGCAGGAGTCGGTGTGCCCCGCGGCATCCCCAGGGCAGAGCAGTCAGGGGGTGGGTGAAGGCTTTGCCCCTGGGAACCAGGAACATTCTGTGCAGCTCCAGAGATGCGTGTTAACTCTTTGGGGGCTGCAGCAGGAGAACTGAGCTCCTCGGGGCTGTGGGCACCATCCACCCAGAGCCTGCAGATCCCAGGACTTGGATATTTAGATATTTCTGCAAACCAGTGGTTTGGGGGCTCTGCTGCTTCCTGTCCCACTTTGCACAAGAAGTGCCAGCGAGGAAAGGTTCCAGCCTGCTGCTGGTCAGAAGTGCCAATTTAATGAAATTATTTAATTGCCGCATCTCCAAATGGCGCTTTTTTAACTGAAAGGAGAGGCCTGATGAGGAATCCTGCCCTGAGCTGGAAGCTGACTCATTCTCCTCCCAGTCCTGGGGTCAGCGCTGGATTGCAAATAAACACACCAAATTCCCACTGCTGGGTTCTGGGAACGTGCTCCCGGCTCTTTGTGGAGGGCAGGGACCCAGGAAGAGGCTGAGTGTCCGCCTGCCTCCCACTGCCTCCTCCCACCCTTGGAGCAAGGGGGGCTTTGGTGACACCTGGAGCTGTCTGGGGTGGGGGGAAACACCACTTTGCTCTGATGAGGGTCTGAAAAATCCCAAAGGGCAGAGATTTGCTGCCCTGTTCCCTCTTCCAAAAGGAGGTCCCAGCTCTGTGACATCCTTGCTGTGCCCACCAGGCGAGACCCAATTCCCATTTCTTTGCTTACAGCTCTGGTATCTCCATCCCCTCTTTGGCACATGGTTTCCATCACAGGATCTCTGGGTGCAGCTTCAGCCCAAGCCCAGGTCTTGGGAGGAAAGGAAAACGGAAGCAATAAGAGGTTGGAGCTGGACTTGAATCCACATCCCAGGATGAAAGGGCAGCACATTCCACCCCAAAAACTTCCCCCCGCGGGGCTAAGCAGAAGCTGGAGCCAGCCTGAGTCACCCTGTGTGGCTGCTGCCGAGGCAGGAGTGACCTTGTGCTGCTGAGCCTTGTGGGCTGGGGGCCGTGGCCCTGTCAGCTACGGAAGGGGAAGCTTTTGCTCAGCATGGATGCTCCAGGGGAAAGAATGAGCTCTGGGGCTGAAATTGCTGTCTGGAAGGGACTAGGGCAGAGGTCAGAGAGGGTCTGGGGTGTGCCCTGTCTCTGAGGGGAGAACATCAGGGCCTGCTGGAGCAGGGAGCAGGGTTTGGGCACTCCTGTCCTGCTGGCAGTGTGCTCTGGGACTTGATGAGCAGCATCTGTGAGCCATGCTGTGACAGGACTCACTTTCCTGTGAAACTTCAGGGAAAAACAGATGAAACTCCCCTCTGCTCCTGCCATCCTGTCCTCAGCCTTGGGATCCTTCCAGGCTGGTGCTTGTGAATGTTTTCCCCCCATCAACTTCTTTTGCTTGAATCAGCGGACATGACTCACTGGGAGGAAAGAAAGGGCTTGGATGAGCTGCTCCATCCAAGGCACCGGGGCCCTTTGGAGCACGGGACACCACAGGAGCAGCGTCCACATCCCCCTGGTTGTGAGGAGCCAGACTGTGGGCTAACATTCCCCTTGTCCCATCGCTGTTCCCTCCCCGTGCCCAGCCCAGTGGGTGCAGCAGAGGGGGAACTGGTTGAGCCGGTGCACCCCGTCCTGGCAGAGAGGGGAGATTCCTCTGATGGGGGTTGACACTTGGGGGGCTGTGCCTTTGTCACTGGGGCGGCCACCACACCCCAAGGGGACCAGGTGCTGGGGACATGCATCGCCTTTCCCAAGGGACCTTCGGAGGGGAGCAGCAGGCAAAGCCCCTCCGTGGCAGGTCTGCGCTTTGGTGGGGGGGTGGAAGATGGGGAAAGTGGCTCCGTGGGGGGGGGGTTACTCCTCCTGGCACTGGGTTAGGGGAGCAGCCAGCCAGGGTGCCGAATCTTGGCTGGATTAGTTAAAGAGATCAAGCAGCTGAGGGATTAGGGAGTCAAGAGAGCCAGGCCACCTGCGGAGGGGAGGGGGGAACCTATGGAGGAGAAGGATATGCCAGAGCTCTGGAGAGAGGTGTGCAAGGCCTGGGCTTTGGAGTGATTAGATAAGTGAATCAGGGCCTCGGAGCGATTAGAGAAAGAAATCAGGTTTTACACCAATTAGGTAAAGTCCCTGAGTGATTAGACACAGTGGTGGCTGCAAGCAGAGGTCTCCTGGCGGCCCATGGAACTGATAGGGCCGAGCATTGATTAAAGGAGCATCAGAGGCTGAGAGCAATTTGATAAGAAAACAAAACAGTGGATCAATTAGCCTGGGAAAGAGGAGGAGGCTGGGTGATAATGGGAATAGGGGCCAGTCAAACCAACCCCTACAGCTCCAAGCGTGGGACTGGTGGAGCAGAAGGGAAGGGATGGAAGGAGGGAAAATGGTCCCAGCGGGAGCCTCCAAGGGCTGCGGGCACCTGGGGCACTGGGCTGAGATTGGTGGGCTACTTCAATTTGGCCTTGGCACAGGTGAATTTACACCTGGCCTACAGGTTCATTTATTGTTGGCTGTGGCTGGTGTGAGCCCCACACAGCTCATTGTGGGCTGCAGCAGAGCAT